GTCACTTCAGCTATCTCCCCCTCTGGTCCATTTCACTATCTCACTATCTCCCCTCTGGGTCACTTCAGCTATCTCCTCTCTGGGTCACTTCAGCTATCTCCCCTCTTGGTCACTTCAGCTATCTCCTCTCTGGGTCATTTCAGCTATCTCCCCTCTGGGTCACTTCAGCTATCTCCCCTCTGGGTCACTTCAGCTATCTCCTCCCTCTGGGTCACTTCAGCTATCTCCCCTCTGGGTCACTTCAGCTATCTCATCTCCCCTCTGGGTCACTTCAGCTATCTCCCCTCTTGGTCACTTCAGCTATCTCCTCTCTGGGTCACTTCAGCTATCTCCTCTCTTGGTCACTTCAGCTATCTCTCCTCTGGGTCACTTCATATCCCTTTATTTAACTTCTGTGAAGACGTGTGAATGCAGAACCTCTACTGTTAAACATTAGAAAAGGTTGAAGACTGAAACCAGCCATGCAGTTTACTAAACAGCAACAGACATGATGGTCTGGCCATATAACAAGAATGTCCTGGTACCAACTGGCATAGAGAGCCTCACTGAAGAAATACAAAGGGTAAGACCACACAGAAGATGGAATGATAGCATCAAGAACAGCCTTAAAGAAATGAAGATCAACTTATACAATGCAATAATGAAAAGAGCATACAGAAGATACTCTCCCCCCCCCCCCCCACCCCCTCCCACTTTCCTGTTTTTCCTCTCAAAAACTTCCATAAAGTAAAAGGAGGAAATTAAGAAAAGGAAAGCTGGCAATAAAATAAACAATAAACTTTGTATCATAAACAAACTACATACCGTTCCCAGTCATAATCGAAACGCTTGAGCTGTATAGCAAGAATCTTTGGCAATTTTCTTATCACAAGTCGCTTTACTGTATCAACCTGAAGCAAGCAAACACTGACAAGGTAATGAGATGGATTATTATAAATGAGTTTACTGTATCAACCTGAAGGAAGCAAACACTGACAAGGTAATGAGATGGATTATTATAAATGAGTTTACTGTATCAACCTGAAGCAAGCAAACAGTGATAAGATAATGTGGTGGATTATCACAAATAAATTTACTGTATCAACCTGAAGGAAGCAAACACCCACAAGATAATGGGATGGATTATTACAAATGAGTTTACTGTATGAACCTGAAGGAAGCAAACACTGACAAGGTAATAGGGTGGATTATTACAAATGAGTTTACTGTATGAACCTGAAGGAAGCAAACACTGACAAGGTAATAGGGTGGATTACTACAAATGAGTTTACTGTATGAACCTGAAGGGAGCAAACACTGACAAGGTAATAAGGTGGATTATTATAAATGAGTTTTCTGTATTACTGTATCAACCTAATACACGCAAAAACTGACAAGGGAATGAGGTGGATTATAACAAATGGGTTTACTGTATTACTGTATCAGCCTAATACACGCAAACACTGACAAGGTAATGGGCTGGGTTTTAACAAATGGGTTTACTGTATTACTGTATCAACCTAGTACATGCAAACACTGACATGGTAATGGGGTGGGTTATAACAAATGGGTTTACTGTATTACTGTATCAACCTAGTACACGCAAACACTGACAAGGTAATGGGGTGGGTTATAAGGCAAATGGGTTTACTGTAATTACTGTATCCACCTAGTACACGCAAACACTGACAAGGTAATGGGCTGGGTTATAACAAATGGGTTTACTGTATTACTGTATCAACCTAGTACACGCAAACACTGACATGGTAATGGGGTGGGTTATAACAAATGGGTTTACAGTATTACTGTATCAACCTAGTACATGCAAACACTGACATGGTAATGGGGTGGGTTATAACAAATGGGTTTACTGTATTACTGTATCAACCTAGTACACGCAAACACTGACAAGGTAATGGGGTGGGTTATAACAAATGGGTTTACTGTATTACTGTATCCACCTAGTACACGCAAACACTGACAAGGTAATGGGCTGGGTTATAACAAATGGGTTTACTGTATTACTGTATCAACCTAGTACACGCAAACACTGACATGGTAATGGGGTGGGTTATAACAAATGGGTTTACAGTATTACTGTATCAACCTTGTACACGCAAACACTGACATGGTAATGGGGTGGGTTATAACAAATGGGTTTACTGTATTATTGTATCAACCTATTACATGCAAACACTGCCAAGGTAATAAGGTGGGTTATAACAAATGGGTTTACTGTATTACTGTATCAACCTAGTACATGCAAACACTGACATGGTAATGGGGTGGGTTATAACAAATGGGTTTACTGTATTACTGTATCAACCTATTACATGCAAACACTGACATGGTAATGGGGTGGGTTATAACAAATGGGTTTACTGTATTACTGTATGAACCTAGTACACGCAAACACTGACAAGGTAATGGGGTGGGTTTTAACAAATGGGTTTACTGTATTACTGTATCAACCTAGTACACGCAAACACTGACAAGGTAATGGGTTTACTGTATTACTGTATCAACCCAGTACACGCAAACACTGACACGGTAATGACTCTGCCACATCAGCACGATATCACTGTAGATTTTTAAACCCCATCATGAATGCGTTACTGTCAAATTGTCAGCACACATTGGAAGCTCCCACTACAGAAGCTAGATTTTCTTAATATGCTGTGTGCCAACATGTAAAAAGTCAGGCAAGCACTGAATGATTGTATGGATGTAAAGGGAAAGACTAAACTTATATCTTGCGTTCCTTGGGACTGAAAGAGTTAACACCTTTCGCCTCAAGAAGCTACACCCCATCCTTTTCCTTTATAAGAGGCCATGTGATCAATCTGCAGTAACGGCAGGCTCTAGGTCGACCAAACCTTGCAAGTAAAAGTAAAGATCCCTTTTTTACGCCTTTGGTGCATTGGGCATATGGGAATAGCACCCCATATTTTTATAGACCAATCGGCACTAGTTGGGTAATGTGGTCAGCATTACGTCGGCCGTCTTTACTTCCCCAGGACATTTATCCTGATACCCATTTAAGGCTGGGTCGATCTGCGACGCCCCATACCATATTAAAAATCTATGCCACCAGCAGTGGGGTTTGATTGCAGTACGTTAAAATTAGGAGCCGGACTTGTAACACCTAAGCCACGGACGCCACTAACCTGACGAGTTGGGTACCAGAAAGTCTCTGAGAAGACCAGCTAAGAATATCAAGACACCCTGTTAAAATAAGCACAGAAACATCACAGACACTTATAAGACATACAATCAGATACCTTTTTATTACACTTCTCACAATAGTAGGCATTCTCCCCTTCGAGCAAGTCTCCCTTGACATACTGTTCCAAGGACTCAAACAGGTTGGCATGGTTGCGAATGTCCACATTCAAGGTTGTGAAGGCTTCTTCTCTCTGGTACCTGTCAAAGTCAGACATTTTCTTAAACTTTTTCTCTCTGGTACCTGTCAAAGTCAGACATTTTCTTAAACTTCTTCTCTCTGGTACCTGTCAAAGTCAGACATTTTCTTAAATTTCTCCTCTCTGGTACCTGTCAAAGTCAGACATTTTCTTAAACTTCTTCTCTCTGGTACCTGTCAAAGTCAGACATTTTCTTAAACTTCTTCTCTCTGGTACCTGTCAAAGTCAGACATTTTCTTAAACTTTTTCTCTCTGGTACCTGTCAAAGTCAGACATTTTCTTAAACTTCTTCTCTCTGGTACCTGTCAAAGTCAGACATTTTCTTAAACTTCTTCTCTCTGGTACCTGTCAAAGTCAGACATTTTCTTAAACTTCTTCTCTCTGGTACCTGTCAAAGTAAGACATTTTCTTAATCTTCTTCTCTCTGGTACCTGTCAAAGTCAGACATTTTCTAAAACTTCTTCTCGTACAGGTAATCATTCATGCAAGCGGAAACACATGGTGGTCAGCTGAAAACTACCATGACAACCAACTCTTACACAGTTCAGTGATTCTTCAAGGGTGTCAAGACCAGTCAAGAGGAAAGAACCTGCTTCTTCAATAGGACTACATCTACTTAATTCCGGACATCTAATTGACACAGACAGTGCTTTCCGTGTGGTTTACCACACTTGTAACAGGAGACTGTTAGGAATTGCCGAAGCTTTAACAATTAAAATCAATAACCCCTCCTTTGTAAGCAGAAGGATTTTATTGTAAATTTGAAGTAACCCTGGTAATTCACGTGGCTACGGTGAGCTTCCAGAAGCCAAATAACACACACGATGAGTCGGAAGAAACTATTTGCATTTCAGTTGGATTTATTCAGTTTTGTGTTTCATTTTATGTTGATGTAACTCTGTAGTAACGCACCTGACGAGATACAGCGAAATAAGCCTGGCAATAAATTGTGCAATGTATTGTTTGTGTCCGCATTATTTAAACTGACACTAATATAGCGGACAAGCATATGCCACCCAAAAAACGATGAATGCATCTTTCTCAAGTTTGTGGTAAGTTGTCTTTGGGCCCATATTTCTTTAAAAACATATGAATCATTAATTTTGCTGTGTAAAAAAAAATAAAAACTGCAAGCATTCTTCTGTAAAGTCACATCTCTGAGGCTTGTTTACTGATTTTACAGGATTCACAGGCAAATGTTAAAAGTGGTTCAAAATAGCATTTAAAAATAATATTTTTATTTTTTAAATAATCTCAAATAATAGGAACTTATAGCGTAAGATGTCTCTCGCTCGCTCTCACTCTCATACACACAAGAGAGAGAGAGGGAGGGAGGGAGGGAGAGAGAAAGGGAGGGAGAGAGAGAGAGAGAGACAGACAGACAGACAGACAGACAGACAGAGAGAGAGAGAGAGAGAGAGAGAGAGCAAACTTTATTTCCAAAACATCACAAATTGGGCATGCAGGACCACTTTACATTCAGCCCTTTCAAAAAAATCATTTTTCGCAAGGAAATTGAATATATCAAGTATATTATATTCATACATCAAAATTCATAGTGT